CGAGTTTCTTGTGAGAAGGCGATTGATCATTTGAAAACGTCTCCTCAATAATCTCTATATTACTTTTAATTGTTCAAGCTAAAATAGATAGAAAACAAAAATATACATGAGAATACGATCGAGTAGAATAAATAAAGATTTTTGAAATTTACAATCAGTCAGAAAGATAGATAAACATAACTTAAATCTATCGTGAATGAATATAAAAACGTTAGGTCGTGAACGAAAGAAATAGATTCAAGTATGATGAAATATCTAGATCACGAAATAAGAGTCGGCTCCAATCTGAAAATGCGAAAAATTACAGGAACTTGAAAGGTCAAATTTAGAGATTGAGTCTGATTTTTAGAATTCCTATTTCCAAGTTTCTCTCACTCTGCCAAGTTTTCAGACGGATTTCTGTCGCCTAAATCATTCATCTTAATATAGACAAATACAAGAACGTTTGTTTTCATAACAACAACGCCTAATACAAGTCATTGAAATATTCGATATTATATATACATTGAATACCATTATATTAATAACAATCTCGTAATGATCTGTCATGAATTATTAAATTGATTGTAGATCATATTCACTAGCAGAATATTGTGTCAGTGTTCCAACTTGATTTTGGCGTAGTCGTTTTTTACAACATACTTTCCAACATTTGTTTATAAAAACATGTTTAACTTGTCGTCGAAATCGTGTTGATGATATTAAAAATAAATAGAAAGAACCCTGAAATAATCGAGATAAATAAAATAAAATAAAAATGAAAATTTAACATACTGCATAATTAAAATAGAACAATGAAAGTGCAATATTTCCTATAAATTGCACAATGGCTTGAGAAATCACACTGCTATCGTTTGTTATAGCACTAAGAGCATAAATCCGTTGTAAAAGATACGGTATTGTCATAATGGCAAAAGAACCAACTCGAACCAGAATCATTGCTGTCAATTGTTGATCAAGTTTTCGTCGACGTAATATCATTTGACGTCGTACGATACGCCGAACATTTCGATAAGCTAATACACTGAAAAATGTCGAAATAGTGATCGGTAAAACTCCCGTAAATATTACATAGTAACCATATGTAACATATTTTGAAAAATTCTGATTATATATATTACATCCATATGTTGATTGAATTTGAAATATGAACAACACTGATGTACCATGTAAGGTCCAAAATATAGTTGAAATAGTAATAAGAATTTTAGCTAATTTTATTGTACTTATTTGTTTTAAAAATGGATAATAACTTGTTGTTAAATATTGATCAATAGAAGAAAAACAAACAATACTAAGTGAAACAAGAGTTATAGATTGCAATACTAATGGTCTTAATTTACACCAAACTAATGATCTCTGTGTTAGATCATTATTAAATCCACTGATTGCAATACGAGATGTAAATGGAATCATCAGTTCAAGTATATCAGCAATCGATTCTGCGATAAGATAAAAAGCAGATGGATTACCACGAAAAATTTTCAGACGAGTAAATACGAAAATGTTAGCAATATGTCCGAAAATACCAGAAAATAAAATAATAAAACTAACATAGATTGTTAACTGATAAGAAGCATTAAGAATTAATTGTGCTGTTGATAATGATGACATGATTTATTCAATGTTGAATTTCTTTTTACGAGTAATGAATAATATCTCTCTTGCTTTTTTTCAGTAATAAAGATTTCTTATTCGCTGAATATAACAAAAAATAGATATATATATAATATATGACAGCGCTGAGTAAAATTCTAATGAAAATTATTTATAATTGAGACTTGAATATTTGAAATCCTAGATAAGTGTACATATATAAAAATGATGCTTGAAGAAGTCGTGCTTTATGTCATCTATAGATTAAATGATCAGTTGATATTTTGTTTTTGTTCTCTACATATCTGTGTCTGTATAAATGCATAGACGTGAAATTATGGTAGTCAAAAACTGAACTAGATCATATTATTTTCGCGTAAAAAAACCTGTGTCTGAGAGTGAATTTTGAACAGTTTTCCCTTTTTTGATAACTCATCGGTTTTGGAATTTACACTTTTTCCTATCAAAAACCAAGTTTAAAATTTTTGATTTATATTCGTTTTGTAGAAAATTAAATTCTCTACAAGATGAAGTTTTCCGTACTTCTCTATGATATCTACAAAAATCGGCGTGTTGAAAATACTTTTCGTGCACAAATGTTGATCTTGATAATATACATGAACAAAAAGTTTCACCTATGGGCTTCATCGTATTTTGCTTTTAGCTTTTAAACCAACGATCTTAGAAAGCCCGGAGACCTCTCATGTAAGTCCTTGATCCTAAGGTGGGCAGTAATAAGTGAAATGCGATGAAGCCCATAGGTGAAGCTTCTTCCTCATGTATATTATCAAGATCAACATTTGTGCACAAAAAGTATTTTCAACACATCGATTTTTCTAGATATCATAGAGAAGTGCGGAAAACTTCATCTTGTAGAGAATTTAATTTTCTACAAAATGAATATAAATCAAAAATTTTAAACTTGGTTTTTGATAGGAAAAAAGTGTAAATTCCAAAACCGATTAGCCATCAAAAAGGGAAAACTGTTCAAAATTCACTCTCAGACACAGGTTTTTTTACGCGAAAATAACATGATTTTGTTTAGTTTTTGACTCTCTTTCCAAAGCACTAGTTGATGTCTAGATTATTTGCATTCCTCATTTTGAAATAGCATTATTCATTGGGACTAACGTACACTATATTTTAAAAATATGGTTCAATGCTGAATTTAAATTTTTTTTTTCAAAATGTTGAGCACAAAATTCTGTATCAAGTGATATATGCTTTAACTTTTTTCAGTAAAGTCACTATGTCCGAAAATGCAAAATACTAAAAGTATCCTAAATTTATGTCCACCACTTTATATAACTCTTCTTTCTTGTCGTGTACATGATTTATTGTCGCTGAATAAAGCGAATTGTTTGTCTTAAAATTACGGCTCGATTACGATCTGAATGTGGACAAGGACATGAATTGTGGTATCAGTAAAAATAAGATTCATATTCAGATCTAGTTTCACACCTACATCTATACCGACACTTATACACATACCTAGACCATTCTTTTAATGATAAATCAAAAATTTTTGTAGAGCTGGATTTTTTTTCTATCGGAAATAAATGGTTCAAGTAATTTATTTTTCTTCAAGAAAAATCTTTATACTTATTTATATGAACTTGATATGAGACATTTGTCAATGCTGACTGCATCAATTTCTATTAAAAAAATATTTTCTCAAAGCCATTTTCTGATACGTCCACATTCTGCTTGCTAATCTAAAAAAATGTACGCTTGCTTCAATCTTAACAAAGAAAGACATCTTGATTTGGAATTTTTATTATATCTCGATTTCAAAATTCATATGTCTATTTCTAAAGGATTTAATGAAATTTTCTCTATTGAGTTCTGAAGAAACATTCTTATATATTGGTACTCAAAAAAGTTTGTACTTGCCTAACTCTTATATAACAAATACGAGATTGAAAAAGCTTGAACAATTTCTCTTGATTTTGAAAGCAATGAGAAGTTACATCAGTAGACACTCATCAAAAAGAAATCTTGTTTTTTATTATTCAAAAAAGTCTTCGTATTAGAAATAGCAAATGTTTCAGACGAGAAAACAATAAATATTTTCAATTAGAACTTATGAGAAAGGCTGAAAAAGCATGAATTATCAGGTAAAATGTTAATAACTATCATACAATTCAGATTATAAATAGTATTACCTAGAAAAAAAAAGATCTCTGTATCAGATCAATCAAAATAGCTTACAACTAGTTAATTCAAAAGTCCATGATAACAAAATTTCTAACTTTCAAATATAAAACGTTGATTTTTGCGAACAACCTAATATTTTCATGCCTTATCGATCACAATTATGCGTTTTACTCATGAACTATGAATTTTACCAATTGATCTAAGTATTTGTAAAAAAATGCTGTGTACATTAATATACTATTGTTCATGCAGCTTATGATCATTTCTTGTTCTTATTCTCTTAGATGACAAGCTAAACGTTATCTATGTGAAATGCCTCATAGTTATTCAATCTGACTTAACAAGAAATGAAAAGAAATTTTAACTTGACCGTATTATGTATGTATGTTCATCATATGAAAGCCAATAGCTTTTAATACAAATGTGCTATTTATTAAAACTTTAACTTAGTCGAGTTAACAGCATGGAAGGTTTTTCAATTTTTGTCGAAGCCCTATTCGTAGCTTACACTGTTTATTAGTTTATATTTTATCAAAAACAATCGAACTAAAATGACGGACATCAGTATCATCTTTGATGAATAAAATCTTGTGAAAACCACATTCATTTGATTAATAAACAACTTTTTTCTCACTAGAGCGAAAAGGATGTTTATCTAATGACGTGTCCACCTAACGCAATCGATAAAAATAAACGATTCGATGGAAATTTATATATTTCTGCTCTAAGACAACTTATCTATGCTTATTAGTAACACAATCGAATGTCTTTGCTTGTTGGAAATGTATTTGACAGTAAAAAAATAATTCTATCTCAACCAGAACATGTTCAAAACATTCTTAAAAAATTACTTTAATTAAAAACTGACATCATACTGAGACAAATTACGACTGAACTTTTACGTCTTGGAGATCATCAAAAAATAAATAAATAAATGAATATCCTTATTTATTACCATAGTATCAAGGAAATCAAATAGGATTCAAAGATATAATTTCAATCTTAAATCTATTCATAATTAAATACTAATATTTACTTTACTTCGCTTATTTTCTGTAATTTATAAAATAACAACTTTGTTAATTCGGCATCGGGGAGAATTTTTTCGTGCATAAAATTCTATTTTATAAAACTCTATAAGTTGAATAAAAAGTATATCACTACTATGCTCGCAATAATAAAAATGATTATCAATAAAAATAAGACATCAAAGTTAATTTTCACATCATGTGCATAATTCATTAGCAAAGAACAATATTATTTGAATATTTTTTTTAATCACTACGCTCAATTACAAAGCCTAAGATGCCTGACAGAGAATGCTACTATCAAATGAAGTCAGTAGTTCTTTGATGAACATCGAACATTTACATAAATTAAATGTAATGACAATTGACATTTTAGAATTAATTTTCTCTCTTACTAGACTTTAAATCAAGCATATTCTATTACACTGATAAAAGAATAGTTATATTCGATTATTTAAATAAAGAGTGAACCAAAAGTTTTGGTATTTAAATAAAAAAAGATTTCTTTTTCTCTCTTATTATAAATCCGAAATTGTTCAACGTTGGAGTGAGGTTAAAAAGAAAAAGAATTAAATTGAAAGATGAATTAGATGTCTATGGTATATTTATTTACAGGTCTTGAAATCTGATTGATTATTTATATATATAAAAAAATGCATGACTATTGTCAATCATTCGTTTTCAATGATTTTTGACAAATTTTCTTTTGAAATTTTTTTCTTTTAATATGTCATCTGTTGATCTATATATTATCCGCTTTTATTACTTCTACTAAGTATCAATGTTTGAAAAATATAAAAATCTTCGAGAACAAAATTTTAACTTCAAATAATTTGTGCAAAAGATAATCATCAAGCGATATTGTTGATGAATTACAAGAAGATTACAATATTTTATTAAAAAAGAAATGATTTTAACAATATATGAAAATATAAATTATTGTGTTATTTCCTATTGTATTTATCATAAAAATTAATTACTCTAGATGGTTTTTTATGAATAAAAATTTTATTCCTTCATCCGAAAAAAATCTTCCACCTAGGTCAAATTTATATATTTTTATAAAAGTAGGACTAATTTATGAAAATTTACAATAAAATTCATCTAGTTTCAAAAGATTACATCCTCAACTTTGAGCAACCTTGAATTTGTAATACGGAAGAAAAAGAAATTTTTCTTTCAATTATTAAAACTTTCAGCTCACATTTTTACTTGGTACTTTAAAATAAGCCATCGTTGCCGTTAAAGTGAGGAACTTTTTTCCTGAAACATATTCTCATTCGTTTCTTTTCCTATTCTCTTGTAGATCTTTGACAATAGAACTTTGATGAAAACACAACGTATCATTATATAGAATATTTCTATTATTTTCAACAAGAATAAATTACTCATTAATCAAATTAATTTTATGTGCAAAAGAAAACTACACAATTCGATTTTGCAACAAAATAAAAAATGATTTTTTGGATTCTGAGAATACAATTACAATTTATTATCATTGATAATAATTTTAATGAAATTGATATCTCAATAAAATGTTTGATATGTTTTTCATAGTCAATGATAACATCATATTTCAAGCATGGCATAATTTTTAATTTTTGGATGATTAGATTCGTTTTTCATTATCATTTTTTTTATAACAAAAAGGATATTCTAATTAATAAATTATTTTCTTACCGAGGAAATTCATAATAGTCAATAATCAGTATTTGATTTTGATTTCATTTTCAAAGTAAAAGTTTTGTTATGCTACTATCATTTTAATAAATAAATTTTCGATGAAATCATCGATGATGGATATCTCCATATCTATTTTATTTTGAAATTTACTTCAAGCAAGAGAACAAAAAAAGGGTGTGGGTGTGGGTGTATCTTCTAATTACCGACACCCACACCCACACCCACACTTGGAAAATGCAAGTTTGCTTGGAGCTATTTGAAAAAAGTTCTCATCGTCATAGAAATAAATCTTCATATCACTAATTCGAAGATAATTTCATAACGCAGAACAAAATAATTCGAGATCTCGATTTTGATTGAGATTAGTCGGATTTCTGATGAATAGAATTAAAGAATAGAAGCGTCTAACTACTGTCTAAGACTGAATTTATCTCCTTTTCAATCAATTGATCTTGCAAATATTCATTTAGGAGATTCAAAAGTTGCACAAGCGTACATATTGAATAGAATCACTCTGGCTAATTGATCGCATGTTCTTACAATATGTGGCCTATCATCTGTTATTCAATTTTGTGAAGATGAAATAATCGAAGAACAATTTCGACAAGATAGTAAAAATGAAGGAAACTTTCTTGTTATTAACTAATAAAGACAGTTTGAAGAAAATAGTAAGAATCATCCCTATCGATACGGTCATTTTAGTTTAGTGGTTTTATTTGATGAAGGAACAGAACAAGTACTCTTGTTACATACGAGTAATGCGAAACATTTTCAATATTGGTTAGGAATGAAATGGTTAGTTAGAATGATGTGTACATTCGATAGAACAGTAGTAATGTCAAGAAGTTTTCTCTTTATTATCAATTCTGAAGAAAATCAAAGAGATAATTTTAATCCAACTTTTGTATCAATTGAATAAACTATCATTGATGATGTACATATGAAACTTGTAAGAGAAAACATCTTTAAATACTAGTTACAGTCCATCGTTTATTGTCTCCGCTAATAAAATCGATGATACCGACATTGGTCGTGCCATACACGGATAGTGCTCGCCACCAGGCAGAGCGTGGTCTGATACGGAATAAGTTTTTTCCGTATGATGAAAATACCCATTCCTGATTGATATCAAATAACCAATTGTTTATTTTCACTGCACCAATAGACGCTGTTGTATTATAGGTACTAAGAGCGTGAACACTAGTACTAACTGGTGATAACCGATAAGTTCCATGATCTAACCAAGTAATCGTCCATTTTTTATTTGGAGTATTGCAACCGTCATCGTAGAGCTGAATAACACTACTGGTAATATTGTTGTCATAAACTCCAAGACATTTGTTTGGTTGGGATTCTGGCGAGAGACGATAGTTCCCATTGGGTAGAACACGAGCTAATTCTTCTTGCATTTGCCAATAAGCTAATTTGGGTTGATAGTTCCAGTCAATAGGTAAGGCAGCTCCTTCAGTACCATTATAAAAAGCTGGAACCCAACTATATCGATCAGTAAAACCCCATGTAATCAAAGCACGACATTTTGGAGAAAAGTGTAACACATATTTTAAGATAGATCGATACAGAAGACCCTGCTTTTCCACGTCATTAGGATCTCGAGGATTTCCATCATTGATTGGAATAGCTACATCAAGTTCAGTGACCATAAATTCGAAACTATTGTCAATTAATCGTTGGGCATTTTGATAATGTTGATCAGCAAACTTGACGTTTTTTGATACTCGTATGTGCCATTGCATACCGATTCCATGAACAGT